AATGATATGAATTTTTTTTGGTCTTTGATGCCTGATATCTGATCCCTTTGACACCTCGTGATCAAACAGTCTGGTGTGTTTCTTACATGTGGACTTTGTTGCTTCTCAGCTAGATGGCCACTTGTTTAGCTTTAAGCCTTTAAGACCCCAGATGCTATCTTTTGATAGCAGAGCACCATCAGCTTTCTTCACATTTGCTTATGCACCTGCTTTGTCTTCAGTGATCGTGTTAGGAAGGTGAGCATCATGGAATGCCAGTTTAATAGAAAAAAGTGTTCTTGCATTGAGGGAGTATTTAAGTGGAGGCCCGCAAGTGATGTATGTATACTTTTAAACGATTTATTGCTAAAGACAATTTGGATCAAAGGGGTTTTTTAAAGTATAAAATTACCTTGAATAGAATCTATGTCACCCAAATGTAGCACTGATTCTTTAAAATCTATGGATGAGCATGCAGAAGAAAACAAAGTATTTACTATACCTAAAGGAATTATGGCTTCGGCTCAGCACTTTAAGAGTTTAACTATTATAAGGATCCCCTTAGAATGACTCAAACTATTCATTGGAAAGTGGATTGTTGTAGATACAGTTAGGTTAAAATTTAACACCCTATTATTTGATCTTCCTTATGATCCATTTAAATTTGTTTTAGTTTTTAATATTTTCTGCTTTCTTTCAACTGAGTTTTTATGTTTTACTTTGTTATTCTTGTTAGCTTATTGTTCTGTTTTTAAGTATTTTTCTGTATATGAAATACAGGATAGGTAAATCAGAGAGTAGCAGGATTAATGGTTTCTTGGGGGTATGGCGGGGGAGGCAGGGAGAAAACAGGAGCTAATAATACAGAGTATAAGATTGAACAAAATATTCTAAAATTGACTGTGTTAATGATTGTATAATTCTTGATGTTAGTGAATTACTTAATTGTATGATATGTGAATTATATGCCAATAAAACTGTTGGTGAAAAAGAAGACTCAAATTCTTAAAATATACTTTTTAAAGTTTGAAGTCACTGTTTTAAAATATAAAATTCATTTATTAACAAAAACTGTTCATTTAAAAGAGGAGCTGATACCAAGGGCTCAACTAGAAAGAAAATGTTTTGAAAATGATGATGGCAACATATGTACAAATATTTCTTGATACAATTGGTGTACTGATTGTTATAAGAGCTGTAAGAACTCCCAATAAAATGATTTATTTTATAAAAGCTGTTCATTTAAGCGCATGCCCCAATTACTTTGTGTTTGTTGTCCCAATAAAACTTTGAGGAAGCAGTAAAACAGCCAACATATAAGGTCACTACAAATGAAAGGACATCTGTATTTATAAAAATTACCCACCTCAGAATTATTCACAAAAAGCAAATCTAATTGAATTATGTTGTCTATAACAATTAACTAGGAAGCAGAAAATAAAAATGTGAGATCACACATCAAAAACAATCATCATAACGTCAAAATTCTCCCAAGATAAGTACTTGAGAAATTTTGAAAACAAATTTAGGATACTTTATTTTTAAAACTATGTTCAAAAACCTTATAGTTTCAACATAAACTGCCAAATATTTCATGTACAGGCCTATAGTTTTTAAAGGCACTTCAGATCTGGATATGTCAATACTTGTCTGCCAGTAGTTTTAACAAGAGAACCTTCCCTTAGGTTTCAAACTATAAGTAAAATAACAAATCAGATGATAATTTAAGAAAGACAAGTGGGGGAACTTTCAGAATATGTAATAACAACACTAGTAATGATATAGGGAAGAAATCCAACTTAGCATTCATTATCTTAAGATTCTTCTAAATAAATCAAGCAGTATACACAAATAATTCAATAAAAGTAAATGTATGCATAGACAGAAAAGTAGGACTTTTCACTAAATGTGCATATTAAACTCCATTCTTATTTACCTCATACATTTATATTCTTTATACCTCACAATATCTCAAGTTTGACATACGGCTATATAATTGAATACACCCCCCCCAAAAAAAAAACCCAACAAGATAAATCAGTGTATTAATACTTTGGCTTATTATTCAGACTTTCCCAATTTATTAATACTTTGTCAAGATAAACATTTATGAATATTTTCTCCTATATTCCAAACTAAAACATACAGCCAAATAAAAGATTACTCTGCATAAATCCACTTTTAACAATACTTAAAAAAAAATCCTACCCAAGCAAATAATCCATCTGTTCCACAATGAAGACATTCAAAATCAGAGATCATATGTGAGACAAGCAGTCTAACACTACACACTCAGTCCTCAGAAACTACACTTTTTCCTTGTGTTCCAGCCCTCAATTATCTCTGCCTACCTTTCCTTATAAAGACATCTGTTGGTAGAGAACAGACATTTTTGACTTAAAGATGATGTTATCAAAAAGAAATATCCCTAGAAAATGGATACAAGCGTGGCAAAATCAAAACCTAAGGGCACAATATAAAATTTATAAACAAAAAAGGAATATTATGCATCTCAACTTCAATGTTCATGCAATAGAAAAGATTGTGTGCATAAAAAATTTTTTTTCGCATAAGGAAATATAAAAACAGAAATAATAAAGAGAATACTAAAATAGAAGCTATGTAAGGCTATAAAAATGCATTAATAATAATTTTCAAAAACAGGTTAAGGGTTAGTCTCACTGTAAATCTATAGAGACATAACTGGATTAATAATTACCTAGGGCATTGCAGGGAAAGTTGCGGGGATGAATTGGGGAGCTATCAACAATCAGTACTAAAAAGAAGACAATGTTCTGTAATTGACTGTGATGACTGCACAGCTCTTTTTAATATGACTGAATTATTAAATTGTATGATATGTGAATTATATGCCAATAAAAGTATTTTTTTTAAAGTTAGTCTCATCAATGGTGAAAAAGGTAATTATATCAAGCAGGTCTATTCTCACCTAATTTATCGACCAAGAAAAAAAGTTAAAAACATTTTTCACAATTCACTGTGTAATAGATGGTGATATTATTTTTAAAATTACTACTATCTTCTGGAGTGACCTTACAATATAAGAAAATAGCTATAAAACTGATGAAATTCTTGGGCCTAACAATTCCATTTTAAGGAAATAAATCTAGAAAAGAAATAAGGAAAAAGAAGGCAAAAAAGGGTACCTAACTATACAAAAATATTAGTGAAGGATGGGAAGTACTCCAAATGCTCCAGTGTAATTTGAGTTTAAAAATATTGCATTTTTATTATGATTAAAATAATGAATACTAAATGATTAGAAAATAAAATAAAATGACTTCAAATACAGATATGTATATGTGAAACTGTTAATAAGGAAATATAGAACATTAAATGAACATTGATTACAGCTACATAAAAGCATGTCTATAAAATGTAAGGAAGGGGAAAATTCAGTAAACTAAATGTTTTGCGGTGAGGTGAACTTAATTACTAATTATCTTATAGTCATTCATTTTTTAAAATCACTGTCATTATTTTAAAAAGCTTTTTTAGTTTAAGTTTCCTTCTACTTGCTTAAAATTGCCTGGATATATGCAGTGAGGATATATATGCAGTCTGTAAGACTGCAAACAAAAACTTTCCTGTATACGTCAACATAAAAGTGTATCTCCAAAGTCATATTACAGACAAAGTGTTCAAACACGGGTAGGTACTGTTGTTTTTGCTTTTTGTTTCCCCCAAGACGTAATCCAACAAAAGTGTGATCTACAAATGTAACTGGTAAAACTGAGGCTTTCAAAAATAAATTTTATAAGTAATTTGTACCATTAATAGTACAGACTGTCTAGTTTATCCTCACCATAATTATGCTGTGTCCTGTGATTTCTTATACATATAAGAAAAATATTAGTGGATTTGGTAGCAGCTAACCATGGCCTCACTATTATAACTTAATACAAACAGATATAGCAAAAGAACAATATACTAATTTAGATATTATCCCCTACAAGTAACTGTTAAATGATTTTTTTATGTCTACAGTCCACTCTTACCCTATCCAACTTTCTTCAACTTTGTCCTAGTTTCCCCTGTTGGATCTTATTGGAAGATAGCTGAATTCAGATTTTATTAACATCACCCTTTTCTCCTTTAATTCCTTTTCCATTCACTGTGTCAGCACCAAACACAGGAGAATCCAAGAAAATAAAAAAGACGACGTTTTTTTTGCGTGTCAATGTTGAACAGAAGGTGCATTCCTACAATTATATTTGCTGGAGGAAAAACAGTTCATCTCTGATGCATTTGGTCCTTTACTAAAGTAAATTCCATTTTTAAATATGAGCAGAGTTTTCTCCTTATAAACCCAAAATCTTGTCCCACTAATTTTATTTTTATACCTTTTATTTAGGGAAATGAGTCTGTACAAATGTGACTTACAGATGGATGATTTGATTAGCTATTCTAAGATATGAGATATACAAAGGCTTTGCTTTTATTAGGTAGTCTATAACCCCAAACAGGCGAATTTTGGAATTTGTAGTATATTATTTTTATTTTATTTTTCACCCTAACCCCCAGGTCCTTCAGTTTCCCTACTGCTCGTCCTACTCCACCCCCCAAAAAGCCTGGCCCCACTTCCAGCATTTATAGCCATGACCAACCAGAAGCCAGTTTTCTTCCACTAGTCTGGAACTACAGGCTGTTACCAAGGCAGTCATTGGCCAGCGTCAGTACTTAGTACGTGCCCCAAGATAACCCCCTGATTTCTTTCCCTTTTCCCCTACAATAGGCCTTCTCCGATGTTTATAATACATTCATAGGCCACAATATGGTGCTTCTGATAACCAACTAGCATTCTTCAAAGTTTTCAAGGGAAAACAAGCTGGGCCAAGAAAAGAGTAAGCTATCCTTTCTCTGCCTCCCAGGAAGGGGCAGTTGATTTTAGGCTAGGCTCAGAGCAGTTTAGTAAGAGAGGTCAGAGCGTATTGGGGGCAAAAGGTGGGGAAGGAGTGGAGAAAGAGTTGGATTAAGTTTGAAATGAAAACTTCACTCACCAGATCCTCAAAGCTTCTGCGGTGCTCTTTCCCCTCCCAGTCTAAGCGCCGCGGAATCAGCTGGGAGGAGGAAAAGAAAGGGAGAGGGGAGCATATGATAAAGGTGAAGCCCCCCCCTCGCCATCAAACTGACCCAGCCTGAGTCCAGATCCTTGAGGACATTGCATCTTTATTTCCCTTGGCCCAATAACTACAATCTTAGAGCTGGATTAGAGCCCGGGCAGGCGGAAGGGGGTGGGGGTGGGGGGGTGGCGGTGTAAGTAGAAGGAAATGCTGGGGGAAAAAAGCCTCCCACAAGCATAAAGAGTGGGCAAGTGAAGATCACAGCGTTGTCCACCCCTTTTGAGAGAGAAAACCAGTTTATCCCAAGACACAACAGCTAACAGTGCTCAGATCTAAGCCTCCCTCTGGGCCCCTGCCCTGCGGCCCTGGCTTGACCCCCTCCCTTCCTCCAGTCTCACCCCAACCCTCCCCACCCCTTTCCGAAGGGGCTCCGTACCTGATGCTCCTCGAGCTCCTGTACTAGCACCTAAGCAAAGGGGAAACATGGATATGAGGAGTTGTTCGGGCCATCAACACGTTTTCCCCCTTCCCACTTCGAACCGAGCGTCCGACGGTAGGACTAGTCAGGCCGGCCTTTCCCTGACCCTCAGCAGAACTGCTCACTCAGCAGCCTCGAGTTCCCCATTGAGACCATTCCCACGACTCCCAGCCTCCCCCCTCCCCCTTCTCCCCCTCACCTGAGCGGATTTGTTGCAGGGTCCGGACTGCAAGAACCTGGCGATCAGGTAATACAGCTCTGGGGTGGGGGTGGGGTGGGGGAGATTGAGAGGAGGCAAAGATAAATAGCTTTTTAAAAGAAATTGACAGCCCTCACACTAAGCCCCCATTCCCCTTTGCTCACAGACAGAGCTACTGACCGGCTTCAATCTGAGTAGGGGCTGCCGCCATCCTTTTCCCGAGAGGGTTTGGGGGCTTCGCTGCGGAGGGGCTTGCGGGGGTGGGCTCCCTCTATTGTGGTGATGCCCCCGTGCCCATGAGTCCTGCCGCTTCCGCCGTACTCCTTTTCCTAGTTTCGGTCTTTGGCGGATTCATCGCATCACGTTTCGACCCATAGATATTCTAGCCTAAGAGCAGAGGAGGCGGAGGAGGAAGGAGAGAGAGAGGGAGAGGGTGAGGGAGAGAGGGAGAGACACACAAACACACACACACACACACACACGTATATACATACACATATACACAGCGAGGGGAGGAGGGAGGAGCCAAAATGCTGGAAGGGAGGGGGGAGGGGAGGGGTAAAATGCTAAAACTAGCCTGTGGGGCTCACGGTTCGCCGCCTGAGGCGCTAACGCAGCCGCTCGTCCTCCACTCTCCCATAAGGCAACTGTTGCCTAGGTGATATGGAAAAAAAACAGGGAGGTGCTAACAGACGTCAGACGCTCTGGCAACCGATTTGGAACTCGGTGGTGGCGTTCCCTAAGTGAGTTTCCGCGTCCGTCGCTCTTCCGGTGAGGGCAATGAGGCCCTTTCCGGTTGGGGGCTTGGCCACCTGAGAGGAACTTGTGAGCCAGTCTGACTACGCTACTGCTTTCATGGGGTCGCTTAACCGGTTTTCTTCATTTTTCCCGCTCCCCGCAGAAGGGAAGCTAGCCGCTAAAGGATTTTGTGCCTAAGAGAGGCGACGGCTACTGCCCGCCAGTCCATTCCGACTCGGCGACCCTACAGGACAGGCTAGAACTGCTCCTTGAGGTTCCTGAGGCAAATTTGCTGGTGGGTGGGTTTGAACCACCGATCTTGGATTAGCAGTCCAACGTTTAACCTGCATCACCAGGCCTCCGGCAGGAGAGGGTGGGAACCGGACGCCAACTTAGAGAGTTAATATATGAAGTTTCCAAGGCGAAATCTTTATCGGAACAGCGTTTGAACTTCTAGCCTTGTTATTAGCAATGACGCCTAGCCCTTTGTTTTCTTTAAAATGACTTGTGTACCAAATGAAAATACCAATTCAGGGCATGGCCCTGATATTAATAAAAAGACTAGTTCTAAACATGTTCACTGGTTCTAGTAAACATTACATGAGATTTTTAACCACATAGCATTTTATATTTTTGCCTTCCAAAAGTTAACATACCATATCCTATTCCAATAGGAAAAAGTGTTGTGTTTTTAAATACCACCAAAGTAGTTTACATTTACCAAATATTTTTATGCATTGCCTATCTCCATGCAAAGTAGATTTGTAAAGGTTCAGGACTACATTTGTTTAACATATATATCCTCGAACTCAGTGCAACACCAGTTATTGAGATCTTTAGTGATCAAAAGTTGTATAGAATAATTGGCACAGATAAAATAAACTGGGTCCCTTTCCTGCCCTACTTTCTCTTAATGCCTGTTCATACTCCCCAAGCTTTGACTAAATGAAGTAATTAAAGAAGCTTAAGCTGGTAAGACTATAAATGTTTAAGCTACATTTATTATTTGTATTAAAACATTTAAATTTGAAGATTCACCTAAATTTACTGCTTTATTCTGATTACTCTATTCCTTTATGCTACACAAACCTTATATCTGGTAACTGTAAATTGATTGGTTTTTCTTTAGTTGTTATAAAATGGTACTTCATAAAGCAAATGACATTTCTGGGGAAAAATAGATTGCAAAGATACAGAACCCTAGAAAACTAATTAGAAGTAGTTTACAAATCACTAGACTATATGAGCTTTTATAGTTCAAGTCTAATATATATAATAATATTAGTCAAGCTTTTACCATATGCTAGTACTTTACATGATTTACTTCATTTAATCTTTTCATAATCCTAGAAGGTAAGTTCTATTATTATCCCCATTTTGAAAATAATAAAATGACTATGACTTTGCACAAGTCATTTAAATTCTGTGAGACTTGTTCCTCATTTACAAAATGTGAATAATATTTGCCATGCCTGCTTTACAGGTAATACTGTAAAAGCCATGTGAAAAAACATCTGTGACATATTTGAATTTTTGTGTCATTGTTATCCCAGTGATCACTACCGTATGAATCTGGGTGCAATCAGAAGAGAAAAATCACACAGTAATTCGAGGGGAAGAATTATTTTTTAATAGGAAATCTTTGAGTGGCAAAAGATTAGCTAGTAAGGAGTAAGGTGAAGTCTTAAGGAATACAAAATATATAATACCAAACTAAACCCTCTGTCATTAAGTTAATTCTAACTCATAGTCACCCTATATGAGGTTTCTGAGACTGTATAGCTTTACAGGAGCTAATGGCCTGGTCTTTCTCCCACGAAGGAACTTGTAGGTTTGAACCACTGATCTTGCAATACACTGCTTACCTGACAGCACCAAATATAAAACACTCACCACATCAATATGAAAGTCTCTTGGTGGTGTAAGCAATCAGCTACTAACCTGAAGATTTATAGTTCAAACTCAACCAAAAGGGCCATGGAAGAAAGGTCTGGTGATCTACTTCCATAAACATTAAAAAATAAATAAATAAAACTGCCATCAAATCAATTGTGACTCAGCTTAGAAACAGAGTTTCTAAGGCTGAAAATCTTCAAGGGAACAGATCTGTGTCTTATAAAGCAAAGAACCACATACCTTGCTATTAGCAGCACAATGCTTACCCAACAGCACCACCAGGTCTCTTTAAACATAGCCAAAAAAATCACAGGGAATAATAGCACTACTCTGTAGCTCCTGGGTTTTCTGTGAGTTAGCAGGGGTTCAATGACAAAGGTGAGCTGGTGTACCTATTACCCCCACATCCTCTCCCAGACTGAGATACAAACTTTATAAGAGAGGACCCAACCAATTAAGGCTCATTTGATTTCAAGCAAAATTCTGTGCTGCTTTGGAGACATAATTTGCTGAATTGGAACTTGCTGAACCCAAACCACGCTTAATGCCATCAAGTTGATTCTGACACAACGTGACCCTAGAACCCTCTGAAATCCACCCTGTAAATTCCATCTGGGGAAAAAAATTAATCCATCTGGAAAAGATGATTACAGGAAATTATTTCACCAAAGGCATTCAACTACCAAATCACCAGAGGGAGGGTGCCAAGGAAGGTTGCCTACTCAGTGTTGATGACACCATGTGTCATAGGAGCTCATTACTGGAAAAGGCTGCCGGAGTTGGGCACTGAAGAAGTTACACAGGCTTTAGGAATAAGCTGAGTAATTACCAGCACAACAGAAGCAGGAAAAAAAACTTTCTTCCTGCATTGTCTTTCCAGTGCCATCTACTGACAGCTTCAGTCTAAGATGACAAAAGGAAAGGTATTTCAACAGTCCACATCCATTTTTCAGAATAGTCAGTAATGGCAAATTTGGAGAGGAGAAGTAATAAATCAGTAAACCAGTATGACTTCCCTCTTTCTTGACTATAATTACTACATAAAATATGTGCATTTATGTAATGTGTTTGCTGTTTAACTCAATTCTTTGAAGTGTTCTGTAGTAATTAAAATCACCAACCTTAATCACCTGGCCAAAGGCTCCACTAAAAAGAAAGGAAATTCCATTCAAACAAAAGTAGATTTAAGTAGGAAAAACCTGGAATGTTTACTCAGTAGGAGAATAGGTACCCATTTATAGTATCTTGAAATATTTTCCCTATTTCACCATCCTTTAATTTACTGTTCATTATGTAGAGTTGTTAGTTGCCACCAACACGGAGTAATTTTACATATAACAGAAGAGCATAGCTCAGTCCTGCTACCTTCATTGATACGTTTGAGTCCATTGGTATGGCCATCGTGTCGATCCATCTCACTAAGAGCTGCCCTCCTGTCACATGCAATAACAGGTTCAAAGTAAACATGCCAAAGGCTTTCCAGCCTCGCTTCTAAGGAGCAGTCTGATTGTATTTCACCTAAGGCCGATGTGCTTGTTCTTCTGGCATCCGTGATATATTCGATATTCATCACCAACACCACAATTGAATGCACCAATTCTCTTTTCCCTTTTCATTGTGTAGCTTTTGAATAAGGAGCCCTGGTGAGTGCTTATAAGAAAATTGAAAAGATTGTGGCTTGGATTAGTCATATCTTTGCCATCAAAGTGACGCCATTGCTTTTTAAGACATTAAAGAGATCTAGTGCTGCAGGCTTGCCCAGTGCAATATGTTATTTGATTTCTTGACTGCTGCTTCCATAGGCATTGATTGTTGAGCTCAGTATAATGAAATCATTGACAACTTGAATTTGAAGGTGACACTGATTGTTTACAGTAGCTTCCACAAACTCAAACCAAACTCACTGCCTTCAAATCAATTCTGACACATATGTGGCATGGTACAATTGGCCCTTTGGGTTTTTGAGGCTGTAACCCACAATTTACATGATTAGAAAGCTTCATCTTCTGCAGAACGACTGGTATTTTCAAACTGCTAATCTAAAGATTAGCAGCTCAATGCATAACCACTATGCCATCAAGAGCCCTAAATATGATATAGATATATAAATTTCTGTGAAGAAATAATATACTTACTGACTGCCATCAAATCAATAGCAACGATATTAGACAGAGTAGAACTGCCCCTCTGAGTTTCTGAAACTAACTCTATGGGAGAAAGGCCCATCTTTCTCCCACCGAGTGACTATGGATTTTCAACAGCCTATCTTGCGGTCAGCAGCCCTATGCAGAGCCATAATGAGCAAACATAGAAGTAAATACAGAGTTTGAATTATAATCTTATTTGTCACTTTTATACTTCTATCTCATTGATTTCTTTATCTTTGTATTGTGTGTGAGCCTTATGCAGGTCTCTTTTAAAGAAATACATAGCATTGTTTTCATATTTTATTCTCTACTATTCTGTGTTACTTTCCTAGGGCTACTGTTATAAATTGCTACAAACTTAGTTGCTTAAAACAACCAAAATATATCATATTTCTCTTAATACTCTGAGTACCAGAAGGTTGAAATCAAGTTGTCAGCGATGCCATGCTTCTTCTGAGAGTTTTGGTGGAGAAGCATTCCTTGCCTCCTCTACCTTCTGAGGACTCCTGACATTATTCAGTTTGTATCAAATAGCTCCAATTTCTGCCCCTGTCTTTTTTTTAAAAACCATTTTATTAACAATTCGTCCAGATGTCATACAATTCAATAAGTGAATCATATCAAGAAGAGTTGTACAATT